CAGGCTTCCTGGCAGGGGGAGGAGCTGCAGCAGGAGGGCTGGCAGCTAGGCTGTTGGCAGCATGAGGATGCCGAGCAGGGGGAGGCCTGGCAGCAGACAGGGGTGCAGCAGAGGGGCTTGCAGCAGGCAGGGGTGCAGCACACGGGCTTGCAGCAGACGGACTCGCCACAGGCTTCCTGGCAGGGGGAGGAGCTGCAGCAGGGGGGCCGGCAGGAGCTGGTACAGGCTGATTGGCAGGGGCTGGACCCACAGCTCACGGGGGTGCAGATGAGGGTCAGGCAGGAGGCTGGGGTGCAGCCGCTGGACTGGCAACAGCTGGGGGTGCAGCAGCGGGGCTCGCAGCAGCTCTCTGGGCAGTCGTCCACCTGCCAGGAGGAGTCGGGGCAGGAGTCCCAGGAGCCGGGCAGGCAGACGCAGCTGCCGCAGCTCAGGTCGCTAGAGCAGACGGACAGGGTGGACGCGGCCATGGTTGGGGCGGTGGGGCTGGAGGAGGGTGTGCGTGTGAGTGTGAGTGTGTGAGTGTGAGTGTGAGTGTGAGGTGCTCGAGCTGTCTGTTGGCTTTTATATCAGGTGTGTGTGTTGTTCCAGCAGCAGGCCCCGCTCCCCTCCCTTCCTTGTTGGTGTTTGGAGCCCAGGGGACTCTCATTAGCACCAGCTCTATGTTTGGGTCCATGAGACGTTTGCCTAGCTATAAAACTCCTAGTATATTTTGGGGTCTGTTGACTTATCCTAAGCTACCTCTGGTCCAGAACATACATTGAGCTAGAAGGTGTGAATCTGTAAATAGCATGTCCTGGGGCCGGACTGGCTGCATAAGAAATCCATCTATTCGAATCCTAACCGCCCCTTTGTGGACACCTGGGTGGGTCTTGTGCACACAGGGGGCCTCTGCTTGTCAGGGTGGCGCAGCTGCCGGAGAAAGAGAGGGTGTGGAGCCAGACATGTTCTGGTTGTGACTCCCTGGTCCTCTCTCTGGTGCGGCGAGTTCTCCTGAGGGCACGTGCAGGTGGCGAGCAGGTGAAGGTGGGACAATCAGGTGGCCACACTTTCCATGTCCTTGGGTGGCCATGTGGGCCACTTCTGCCTGACCACTCACTAAGCCCATGGATTCTGCATCTGTCCACGGCCTTCTTACACCCCAAACCCTGCAAACCTTGAGTACAAACTGGAGCACCCTATTTTCTCCCCTACAGGAAGTGCAGCTCCCAAAAATCCTCCATAGGAAAAACAATGGTTGCTTTTGTGTTTCCTGTTGATTTTCTTGATTTTTTTAAATATAATTTTATTTTATTATGTTATGTTAGTCACCATACAATACCTCATTATTTTTGATGTAGTGATCCATGATTCGTTGTTTGCGTATAACACCCAATGCTCCATGCAGTACGTGCCCTCTTTAATACCCATCACCGGGCTAACCCATCCCCCCACCACCCTCCCCTCTAAAACCCTGTTTGTTTCTCAGAGTCCATAATCTCTCATGGTTCATCTTTCCCTCCTATTTCCCTCCCTTCATTTTTCCCTTCCTTCTCTTAATGTCCTCCATGCTATTCCTTATGTTCCACAAATAAGTGAAACCATATGATAATTGACTTTCTCTGCTTGACTTAGTTCACTTAGCATAATCTCCTCCAGTCCCATCCACGTTGATGTAAAAGTATTCATCCTTTCTGATGGCTGAGTAATATTCCATTGTACATATGGACCACATCTTCTTTATCCATTCCTCTGTTGAAGGACATCTTGGCTCCTTCCACAGTTTGGCTATTGTGGACATTGCTGCTATGAACATTGGGGTACATATGGCCCTTCTTTTCACTACATCTGTGTCTTTGGAGTAAATAACCAGTAGTGCAATTGCTGGGTCATAGGGTAGCTCTATTTTTAATTTTTTGAGGAACTTCCACACTGTTTTCCAAAGTGGCTGTACCAACTTGCATTCCTTGGGTCAGCCCAGCCAGAAACCTAAAAGTCATCCCAAGTTATCCAAACCCCTTTCTTTCTTCTGCAAATAATATCCAAGTGGACACCAAGTGGTTTTGCTTCCCTCAGCTAAATAAATTCCATCCTTTCTGGTCCTTTTACCTTCTAAGCATGAATTTATTCACTCTGGAGCCAATCCCCCCATGTGCTGGAAACGGTGGCAAGCTAGAGAATGCATGGGTGCATGGGTCATGGCCCCATGGAGGCCTGCTGGCCAGGGGAGGCAGGCACTTGGTGCCCTGTGGTGGCAGTGAAGAACAGGTTCAGCAACATTGGGCCCAGAGGAGTGGTGCCACACCCCAGTGGGAGGGCTCTGGGGGCGCTAGGCAGTGTGTGCTGCCCCTGCTGCATTCATGGGCTCCGATTCTCACCCTTCCTGGACATTCCATTTCCAGCAGTGGTTCTCACCCTAGGCCTCTCACCTATGAGGATGTTCATGCTGGGGAAGAAAGGGGTTCTAGGAATTCAACTAAACTATGGCTGAGTTGTCTTTCTTTATGTCTTGGGTTATAAAACTGGTGTAAATCTGAGCCTGGCCCTCTGTGCTCAGCTTCTGGCCCTTCCGGAGATACAGGAACTGATCTGTAAGCTGGAAGTGCGTGGCAGGGTAGGGCGAGGGCAATGTTTGCCATCTATGATGCGGCAGCCTCTGCCAAGACGTATGTGTGCCGGCTGAGGATGGCTCGAAAAGCTGGATAAAATACAAAAATGTCTGTGCAAAGCTTCTGAAGGCTACTGATGAGCCTGAGCATTGAGGGCCAACATGTGGAGACGGGGCGACTTCAGAGAGGCGATCTGGCATCTCCGAGTGGCTTTTCATGAGGTGCAGTGGATGAATCTTGGTGAGGGGTGTGAGGGGAAGTAACCAGCTTGTAGAAAGGCCAGCAGAGGCAGCATGGACCCAAGGGGACAAGACCCTAGGGAGATGGCAGTCCCCGAGAAGAGCTCTAGAGCTGCAGGCGGAATCTCATCGCATTTGCCCAATTTTTATGCTATGCAGGAAAGATACTAAGAAAGCCAATGGAAAACCATTAAAACCCAAGCGGAGCTTCTGCAGCCTCATTGCCATGGGGACTCATAACCCTGACGACTGGCCAAGGAGGAGTGGCTCTCAGGTGGGACCCCTGGACAGCTCAGTCCCAGGAGTGGGGAAGCCAGACGTAGAGCAGCCTCACGTTGGCACGAGTCCTCTGCCCCACTCAGGCCGCCAGCCAGAGCGAGAGCTGAAACTCTTCAGAAGGAGGGAAATTCATCCATAGCTGCTAGAATTTTTCACAGACAATGTCAAACATTCAATCAAGAATTACAGTCATGCCAAGAGACAAACAAATGATAGAAACAAGCCTGAGATGACAGTGTTGGAGTTAATCAGACACAGACTTTCAAGATAGTTGTGGTGAAAGTGTTCAGGGAACTAGGTGTGATGAGGGAGATCTTTATTGTAAAACTGAAACATAGACAGAGAAACCAGTAGAAATTCTAGACTGAAGAGAACACAAGACTGGCATTTATGAATTGACCGATGGATGTTTTGGTTGTGGGTGTGTGGCGGACAGGGGATGGACAACGGGAATGGAGCAATGGGATGGCGTCTTTAAGGGGCCAAAAGAAATGACTGCAGAACTGGAAGAGAGCTCCCCAAGAATGCCATTTGGAGGTGAAGGTGCTACAAAACATCTCCAGACCAGCAGACACAGAGTGGATTCCACACCAGAAGATGCACTTTGAAGTCACTATCACGGGAAACTTTTAGGTAGGATGGCTGGAGGGGAAAAGTGCAGGAAAATGGAGAACCTGCAAGGATAAACAACAGGACAAACAACAGGAAACTGGCCCACATTTCCACTCGCAATGTTATAATATGTTGTATATTTACAGTTTCCCGTGGGCTCTACACTGTACTAGAGATGAACAGTGCAGCTCGAGCAGGGTGAGGAGCTGAGGTGTGCTGGGGTCTCAGGGTTGCTCCAGAAGCGGCCCATGCACCCGTGCCCATCAGACTTGACCATCCCAGGAAGGCGCACTGTAGCCTCTGGGCTGACCTCTGAGACAGTCACGAAACCACAGACAACGAGTAATGAATGGGAGAGGGGAGATAAATAACAAAAATACCCCAAAGCAGTCAGGAAATAGTTTGTAAAAGGAACATAAAACATTTGTGACAAATAGAAAACATACAATCAGATCTCAGATATAAACCCAATTATCAATAATGAAATTAAATGTAAAGTATTAAATATTTCAATTTACAAATAAAGATTGTGATTCTGCACAAAAGTGGAAAACCTACATGCAAATTCTAAGAACTAGATCCTAAATATAAGGGCACAGGAAGTTTGGAAGCACAAAGATGGGAAAGATACAAACAAATGCACAGGACAATGTGAGATTCTATGCAGCTGCAACCAAGAAAGAGAAATCTTTATGTATTCATAGGAAAGGAGCTCCATGCTATATTAGGTTACAAAAAAACAGAGGGGGTAGAATATGATACAATTTGTATTTTAAAAATGTATACACACAAATACTTTATACACGTTCGTGTACCTGTATATAGAGAATAGATGATAGAGTCAATCTTCATTATTCATGAATTACTTGCTAAAATTTATTTGTAACCCCAAATCAATACTCACAATGTGTGCATGGTCATTCGCGGACATGTGCAGAGTACTCCAAATTTAAGACTCGGACACGCGTTTCCAGCTGAGGTGGAACGAGGCTCTGCCTCCTTGTGTCAGCTCCCAGACTGTGAGCCTGTCCTTTCCTGTCTCCTTCATGCTGTTTCGCACTTTATGTTGTGATTTTGCTGGTGAAAGTGGCCTCAGGCCTAGCGCTGAAGGTCTGGGGTTCTGAGCACAAGGGGGCTCATGTGCTTTGTGGAGGAAATCCACGTCAAATAAGTCTTGCTCAGTCATGACTTAAGGTGCTGTTGGCGGTGAGTCCACTGTTAAATAAGATGTATGTCAAGTATTTATTAAATAAGTCGCTTTAAACAGAAACACACATCAAGCCAGCAATGTATTGAGGGTTGCTGAAAATCTGACCAAAGCTTGCAGGGACCCAACCCCGTGTTCCTCTGGGAGTGATGGTTCAGTGTTCCCAGATTTGCTAATTCAGTGTTTTTGGTGACTTTCTAGAACCTAGCGACTGTGACTAACGAGAATGCACCATGTGCGTGTGTGCACGTGTGTGTGCAGACAGAGAATAAGAAACAGAGAGACACAGAGACATGCACAGAGATAAAGGGGAAGGGGAGTGTAGCTGCTTCCTGAGAGGAGGATGGGGTGCTGGTAGGCAGGGCTGAGGGACACTCACTCTGCACGGCCACATTGCCGATCTTTCTGTTGTGTTCTGTGTCCGTGCACTACCTAGTGACATGGTGGATTGTCTGGTGTTGTGCGGGGCATGCGATGAGGGAGTCATCCAGAAGAAAGGCTGGGGGAGACCGATGGGGGCCGTCCCGACAGATGAGGCTGCCCCAGAGGAAGATGAGGGTGGTGACCACCACTGATGTCCAGCCCAGGTGCTCAGGTGGCTCACACATAACCACAGCCCCAGGCCGTGTCCTCGTCCCAAGGGGCCAGAGGCTTTGGATACAAAGTCCTGTGGTCTCCCAAGCACACAGACAGGTGGAAAGTGGACACAGGGACGCAGCGTTTTGGTGATGAAAAATGCTCTAGAGCTCAGGCCAGGAGGTCCAGCCTGGCAGGTGGCCCTGGGAAGGTGCTGACCACCCTTGGCCTCCGGGTTCTTCCTTCACAGGGGGCCACAGTCCTGCATCCCCAGGGGAAGAGGTGTTTGAACCACAGAGAAACTTCCAAATGCCCTCTGCCTGCCGAGTGAGCGACTGCCCTGGGGCAGCCCTAGCTGGTGGCTGGATGTCCATCCCACTCCTGCTCCCCTGGGACACATGGGACCGCTCCAGAGTCAGATGCTCCAGGAGGTTTATGAGCTGGACAACATCCAGGCAAATAAATATCACTAACGTGGCCTGGGAGCCGGAACTAGAGGCTTGTGGGGACCTGGGACCCAAGAGCCAGGAGGATATAAAGGCTGTCAGCCTCGGGCACCTCACACACACTCACACATTCACACTCACACGCACACCCTCCTCCAGCCCGACCGCCCCCACCATGGCCGCGTCCACCCTGTCCGTCTGCTCTAGCGACCTGAGCTGCGGCAGCTGCGTCTGCCTGCCCGGCTCCTGGGACTCCTGCCCCGACTCCTCCTGGCAGGTGGACGACTGCCCAGAGAGCTGCTGCGAGCCCCCCTGCTGCACCCCCAGCTGTTGCCAGTCTAGCTGCTGCACCCCAGCCTCCTGCCTGACCCTCATCTGCACCCCCGTGAGCTGTGGGTCCAGCCCCTGCCAATCAGCCTGCACCAGCTCCTGCGGGCCCCCCTGCTGCAGCTCCTCCCCCTGCCAGGAAGCCTGTGGCGAGTCCGTCTGCTGCAAGCCCGTCTGCTGCACCCCTGTCTGCTGCCAGGCCTCCCCCTGCTCAGCCACCTCATGCTGCCAACAGTCTAGCTGCCAGCCCTCCTGCTGCAGCTCCTCCCCCTGCCAGGAAGCCTGCGGTGGGTCCGTCTGCTGCATCCCTGTCTGCTGCAAGCCCGTCTGCTGCAAGCCCCTCTGCTGCACCCCTGCCTGCTGCAAGCCCGTCTGCTGCACCCCTG